TTTAATATTTCTCCAACTCATTTATATTTTTCCTAATTATTAGTAGATTTTACAATTTTCATTCATATTATGTGCAGTGACTGTTATGTTGTATTCTTATATTATTTTTTATCAGAAACTTTATTTATTTATTTATTAGTATTTTTTTTAAATATGTATTTGATAATTGTTTTAAATTATTAGTAGTTGAAACTTGTTTTTATTATATTATGTTTTTTCAAGGATTAATAGTTTAAAAAATATGAAGAAAAAAGAATGATCAAACATTTATTTTTCGTACATATATATTTTAATATAAATATAATAAATTAAATCATATATTCAATCAACAATAATAATCTAAAATTATAAATTTATATTTATTTTTTATAAGAAATAAAATGTAAAATTGAATAATACTAAAATTAATTTATTATATTTATATATAACTATTTTTAAAAAATACCATGGATAAGGGACTGGTTGGGGGTGAAGAAATATGAAACCCATCAAGGACGAGGATGAATACTTAATTTCTAACCCCGACAAGAATTGAGGACAGGGACGAGAATGATTAAGAAAGTCGAGAGTAGGGTCAGGGAGACAAAACCCACCCCTATCCTGCCCTATTGTCATGCCTAATTTAACTTATTTCTAATGCATTTCTAATTATAAATTTTAAGTTATACTCATTTCTTTCATTCCACGCTTAGTGGAGGTCACTTTGACTAATAATAAATAGAATGTTAGATAGCGATTTTTACTAGCCCACCATTTTTAGATATGCATAGCATATGATCATCACTTGTGTGATATGCTAAAAGGTAGGAGGGATTACCCCTCTTTTTGTGATATTTTTTGTGTAGAGTATAGACTTTATGAGTCATTTTCCTATTGCATTTGGTTATTCTTATATTTTACTTATTATTGATTATGTATCTAGATGGGTGGAAGCTACAACCACAAAACTAATGATTCTAAAGTTGCTTTAGATCATTTTAAAATCTAACACATTTTGTAGGTTTGGTGTACCAGAAACCATTATTAATGATCAAGGGAGTCATTTTAGCAAGAGGACTATGGAAATTTTGTTCTAGAAATATGGGATCACTTAGAGTTTCTACATCATATCACCCCCAAACTAATGGGCAAGTTAAGGTCTTTAACAAATAGAATAAGTAGATTTTTCAGAAATTGGTTCACTTAAAGGTTTCACGTAAATTCTAGAATCTAGTGAATTATTTAGTTGATATGATTAGATTATTGGATATAACTCTCGTTTGAAGGTGAACCAATATAATTTTCTATATGTATTTTTTTTCGAACTTGCTTTTATATTTTGTGTATTGCACGTATAAATGTTCATTACATCTTTACCTACCACTAGTTCTTGCCTATATCAATTTATTTTGCTTTTAACTAATTCAATTATGCAATAGATGATCCAAAGGGGCACTAGGACTGTCAAACCCTGGCCTGACCCTAAGAACCAAGTAAAATTTTTTGATAAACCAACTTTACCTATATTTTAAAACAGATCATAAATTTTTGTTTAGCCTAACCATGTGTTGGGTTAATGAGTTAACAAGCCCATTTTGGGTTGATTAAAAATTAAAAATATTAACGTGTCCAAATGAATGCAATTAACTAAAAAATTATTTAAATAAAAATAAAAATAAAAATATTTTTTTAAAATTTAAGTTATATTAATAAAACTAATTTATATTTCAAATATAATTACTTATTATATAAATTATACGATAAAGGATTCATTTAATCTCAAATTCAAAACTTACTTATTATAATTTATTTTTTAATAATCAAATGATCTAAAGTAGTTATCGCTTAACTATTGAATCATGTAATAAGTGAATATTGAAACTAATTAAATACAAATTATAATATGTGAATATTGTAATGAGTGTCTATTTAAATAAAAAAACTAAAATAAAAATATATTTTTTAAATTTAAGTTATATTAATAAAACATATTTATATTTCAAATATAATTACTTTGTATATAAATTATGAGAGAAGGGATCATTTAATCCCAAATTAAGAGTTAAAAATTTACTATTCATTATTATCATTAATTTTTTTAATAATTTAATGATCTAAAATAGTTATGGTCTTAACTATTAGATTCAGTAAGAAAGATAAGGGTCGAGGAGGCAAAACCCGTTCCAACCTCTTCCAGTTGTCATGTCTTATTTAAGCTATTTATAAGTGTGTTGTTGGCCATGAATTCAAACTATAGATATTTCTTTCATTCCACACATGTTGGAGGCCACTTTGGCTAATAATGAAGAGAGTACTAGATAGCGAATTTTACTAGTCCACCATCTTTTAGAGATGCATATCATATGATTATCACTAGTGTGATATGCTAAAAGGTAGGAGGGATTATCGTTCTTTTTGTGAGATTTTTTGTATAAAATTTAGACTTTATGAGTCATTTTCCTATTTCATTGGTTATTCTTATATTTAACTTGTTATTGATTATGTATTTAGATGGGTGAAGGTTATCACCACAAGACTAATGATTCCAAATTTGTTTAATTTTTTTTTTTAATCTAACAATTTTTCTAGGTTTAGTGTATCACAAGCCTTTATTAATGATCAAGGAGTCATTTTTGCATCAAGACTATAGAAGCTTAGTTCTAGAATATGGGATCATTCAAAGTTTATACACCATATCACCCCAAACTAATGGGTAGGTCAAGGTCTTTAACAAATAAATTAAGCATATTTTTCAAAAATTGGTTCATTCAAAGAGGTCATGTACATTCTGAAATCTAAGTGAGTTATTTAGTTTACATGATTAGATGATTGGATATAACTCTTGTCTGAAGGTGAATCAATATAAGTTTTTATATGTATTATTTTTGTTTCCTATCTTGCTTTTTATATTTTGTGCATTGTATATATAAATGTTCATTACATTATTATCTACAACTGGTTCTTGCATATATCAATTGATTTTGCTTTTAACTGATCCAATTATGCAATAAACGATCCTAAGGTGTATTAAGATTGTCAAACCCAACCTGACCTAGTCTTATGAGACAAGTAAATAAATTTATGATCCAATATGACCTATATTTTAAAACGGGTCATAAATTTTTGTCTGACCTAATCCTATATTAGGCTAACGGGCTAACAAACAAATTTTGGGCTGATTAAAAATTAAAAAAAATTAACATGTTTAAATAAATGCAATTAACTAAAAAATATATTTAAATAAAAATTTAAAATAAAAATAATTATTTAAAATTTAAATTATATTAGTGAAACTAATATATATTTTAAATATAATTACTTAATATATAAATTATAAAGAAAAGAATTCATTTAATTCCAAATTAAAAATTAAAAACTTAATCTTTATTATTATCATTATTTTTTTTAATAATATAATGAACTAATAATTATGCTCTTAACTATGAGATCCTATAATAAATAAATATTGAAGACTTATTTTTAGATGAAGTGAAACTCTTATTAAATTAATTTATAACACATATTTTTTATATATTATCTTTATTTTAAAAATAAACATTATTTTAAACTCTTAGTGACTAACTTATCACCCAATGTTAAACCTATTTTAACACCTTTAAATACTTTGCCTGATCATTGGTTATTAGAAATACCATAAATTGTTTGAAAAAACCTTACAAAATTCGTTATTACTCAATTCTTCTACTCTTGAATTAAAGTGATGTTCTTTCGTTCCTTTTCCTCATTTGTTGTTTTTGGAATTGTTCTTGAGTTATTTTAATTCTAAAATATCCTTCAATTGTTGAGTTTAATTCAATTTTCGTCAATTATGCTTTTTGAATTTGATTTCCCCTGGTGGACTAAGTTAAAATCATTGTTTTCTTTATTTAACCAAATATAATTGTTTTTTAATGTCTTGACCAATCATTTTCTTGAATTTCTTGTTACCTATTCTTAAATTATCCTACACATTAGTATATTAATTATTGATCTTTTGAAATGAGGTAAAATATGGAAAACAAAAATTAGGACAAAATGAAATAAAGAATACAATTTATTTTTATAATTATTGATATAAATAGTTATTTTATATAATTAAATTTAATTTTATAAATAAATATTTTAATATATAAATTATATTATAGTAAATGTATTAAATAGTAAAGACTCGATTATATTAAAAAATAAAACAAAGTTTCATCACATACTATATTCCAATATGGGTTGAAAGAGTAAAGTAGAGAAAGGAATTCTATGTTCTCCTCATTCTCAATTTATCAAACACGATATGGTTTTCCTATCAAATATTGAAAGCGTAAAGGTGATATGGAACCTGGTAAAAGGGTTGATATGGGATACTCTTAATAAGGTTGCATTTGCATAAATCTGTCAGTTTGCAGTGGGATGTGAACGTTGTAACTTCTAAACAGGAAAAAGTAGAAAGATTGTAGATTATTTAAAAAAAAAAATATTGCAACAAAAACATAGATAACAACTCAAATATGCAAATAAATCTCCAATGACTATTACCTATTATAGTTAAAAAACATTTCATGCTTCTTCTTTTCAAATTTGAAAAGCATTCATTTCTAATTCATAGATTTTAAATGAATAAAACATTAAACAAACCTTTTACCATAAACACATCAATTTATCTTAGCTTTTTTTTCTTCATAATTCTTTATAGATATAATATAAAGTATTTTGTCTATTTTAGTGTTCGGCCCATTCATCCTATCCTCATAATTAACTCAATAAACAATGTGAAAGGCGAGAAAAACCAAGACAATTTCAGCAATACCATTTTAAACAAGAATGAGTAACATGATGTCAATTACATCACTGATAGCAGCATACTTATTATTGCAAAAATGTTACAAAACGAGGCTCGTAAATAAATGAAAAATGACAGTAGTAGCCCTCATTCATAGGCATATATGTCGTAAACTTTAACAAAACATTATGTTGAACCTCTCCATGAAGTTGAGTTGAAGCACAAAAACGCGAAAAACTACGATGAACTAATATCTGTTCCAGTAGGTTCTGCGTCTGAACCAGTTGTAATCAGGCAAACGCTGGATAGGACCCATGGCAGCAATAGCTACGTCCTGCAGCAGAAACATACAAAGACATGACACCACTGAAGGAATAAGATAAAGTATCGCTGCAGCTAAATATATTTCAATTTTTACCTTGTCATAAATAAACCTGTTCGCAACCCGCTTAATTGTACTGGCATCAACCGCATCAATTCTAGCAAACAATTCAGCAAATGGGATTCTTCTACCATAGGTAAGCAGCTGAAATATAACATGACCATAGATTTATAAAGGATTGCAAAGAGGTTAGGTATAATTTTATAAAAACAACTAATAATTCAACAAGTTCCATTCACAAATGGTTAACGGGACAGCATATAAAGCTATATGAACATTAGAAAACAAATTTATTATTATTATTATTATTATTATTAGTGTATAGAATCAGGTTCATGACTTGTACCCTAATATAGCCAGTGGGAAAGCTATTCTCTATATTTAGATTGCCCAATAGTGGAGTGAAAATAAACAAGTTGGCATTTTAAAATTTTCTAACATACTCAATTCATGACTACATTTTCCAAGCTTATGTTAGTGATAGATAATGAAAGAAAAGTTGGAATGGAAAGAGTTTTGATAGTTTGGTTTGTAAAAAAATAATGAATGGAACATGCCGTAAGCAGATGGATCGTGACTCATTTCATTCCATTGGTTAACTCTAAATTTGAGATGCACTGGAACAAAACTTTCAGATAATAACATGGATATCTTTGCAAAATTCTAACCTTGTCAGTCTCATAAGCATAATATTAAATAAAGATGACATGAAAACTAAAAATAACAATAACGAAATCTTCTTTCCATTCCATTATAAAATATCTAAACAAAGTAATACCATTTTTATTCATTTCATCCCCATTATATTTTGATCTATTCTTTTCCATTTTATATCACTAATCCAAACATAACTTAGAGTTTGTCTATCGTATACCAAGTATCATGCTATCATATATCTCATCTCTACATGGAGTTGTGTGTAAAATCTATTGTACCTGACGGCCAATATCTTCAGCTATTGGACTTGTTCCATCTATGTGTAGTAGCAACGAAGATTTTAACTGTAAAAAACACAAATGAATACAGCACTAATCACAGGGAGAAAAAAATAATTGAAATGAAATTAATGCAACACTAACATAATTTAGTTGAAGATGTAAAGAAGTACAATAACTTTTGAAAAGCAAGAAAAATATTTAAGGATTATGTATGTCACATTCAACAATCCATGACCTTTGGGCATGCGAAAGAATATATATATATATATATATTTACGCGAGCCAAAATAATTATTGGAATGGAAGCAATGTGTGCAAGAACTAACATTAGATTCACAATTGTTAATGTATGTTTTAGAGGGTAAAAGTTAAACCATCATAAATTTTGTTGAAAAGAAAATATCAGCACTATCATGAAAATTGAAAGATACATGGTAAGCATCTTCTCCTTACATTATATAACAGTTTTTCAAGAAGTTTATAAACAGCAGAACGTGACATCAGAACTAGAAAGGTCATGGAAGAGTAAAATGCTGTTCAGCTGTTGCATATTCTCATCATTCACATTTTCCTTCTGTATGACATAACACTAAATACAAGCTTCAAACAGTAATTTAATTTGAATACAGAAGGTGTTCAATGAAGACTGCACAATGTCATCAAAAGAAAGGTTCAAGAGTAACAATCAATACAATGATAAAATCCGTTTACCTGAAACTTTTGACATTCAAAATATTCACCAGTTATCATCATAAAATTAAATCCAAGTCATTACACATAAATTGAACGTTTTTGTTTTGAAACGAAACAACCTCAAGAATTTGACTGATCAGGTAACAAATTTATGTTGAATACAAGTTCTTATAAAATTGCATATCAATGAATTGTGTAAAATTAACTCCTAATTCGTACTATATCTTGCACAATACAGTCATCACTAGTGAAGTTTCCCATTCAAAGTATAAGCCAAATTCATTGACACATTAAATTAGCAAGCCAGGGAATCAACACTTAGAAACCCACCTGATTACAGGCACGTGTAACGTCATCTTCTGAAACACGATAAGCCAACTTGGTTGTCTCATACATGATTGCATATGACAAATCATCCAAGCTATCAGGCTGAAAGCACAACAAATTCAGTCGAGGAAAAAATTTCATCAAAGAAATGATTGAAGATTTGGATACAAAGAAAATGAATCTAGAAAACCTAGAGAATATTTACAACATTGTATATATCAACCTAAATAAACTACTCTTTCATTCACCATATTGCAGAGACACAAATAACCATCATTATATATTTATATTCTCAACACTACCGGAAATCTTATAACAAATCAAGTAAAATGGGATTATATTACAATAAATGAAAAGGGATAAAAGTTCATCTAAAGAAACTAAGTCTTTCAGGTGAGTCTAAAAAGAAAGTATTATGTGAGCTAATTCGTCAAGAAAAAAGTATCCAACACATTACATCTTACCTTAGCAACAACATAAACACCAAAAAGACCTGTGTCCTTGTAATTGGTGTTGAAAGCCATTATGCTCTCTGCAACTTCATTAATGCCAACTCGTTGTGCTAACTCGGAACTGTCACAGTCAAAATGCATTCAAACAAGTTAGTGTCAGGAGAGGCATTTCTCTATTTCTTTTATTTTTATTACATGGAAGAGAAGACGGAGATGGTTCAAATCACATACCCCATGTGTTTACCACCTCCTGCGGTCTTATTCCAAGAACCCAACATAGCTTGCATGACCATGAGAGCAATTGAATCTGGGTCCTTCCAAGATGCCCCTTCAAAAGCCACCGCAAATTGTGCAAGGGGAATATCATCATCAAGCATTCTAACCTGTTTTTCCAAGCAAAAAGTAAACAACAATGGTAATTAAACATACCATCAAGATATGTTCCAAGTCTTCCGACGCTCAATGCAAATATTCTTACCTCAGAACCAGTGAAAATAGCTGGCTCTTTAGCAACTAATTGAGTCGTGGTAGTGGGATCTGTGGACAACTTGGTAAACAGCTTTTTTACTTGCTCAACAATATCCTCATGCTTGACAGCTCCAGATGCAGCTATCACCTTTGAAAGCAAACCCACGCAGAATACAAGTTACAAAATGACTGTTCAGAGTTAACCATAAACAATATGTAGAGCAGACATCAGTGACAAGAAACAGGCATGACCACATTAACTTTCCACATACCATCCTAGGAGCCGTGTAATGCGTCTGAATGTAGCTCTGCAGATGAGCTTTGGTGATTGTCTTAATGTTCTGAGCAGGTCCAAGAATGGTTCTTCCAAGAGGTGTGTATTGGAACGCAGTTGCGTGTAGGTGGTCAAAGATCACTTCCTCAGTTTGACCCTCAACCTACAAGTAGTTTTATTGAATAAAACCTCTAATCAAAATTGACATCGTCATCAACAACAACAGCAGCCTTATCCCAATAAATTTCAACAAAATCAACATCAAAAGAAAGGAAAAAAAATGGTTTAACTTACAAACACCTTCAGTATAAAATACACTTAGCACAATTACATTTGATCACTTTATCAAGTCATTCACTTTACTAATATGATGTGGTAATAAGATATATCCTAAGAACCTAGTTCAATACTCAATCACATATTATAATGAATAATAAACCTGCTGATGATTTCTGATTAGTTGAGAGTGTAACGAAATAGATAATTGAAATCTAAATTTGAAACAAAGAAAAGTGGTTTGCTGTACCTCCTCCATTTCACGGAGAATGACATCACGTTCGCGGCTGATGCGATTCTCCTCAAATCGAGAGTTCTGAAGGATGTCGGCGAGGATGTCAAGGGCCTGGGGGACATCGGTGTCAGTAACCTTGGCGTAATATGTAGTCTGTTCGCGTGAGGTGTACGCGTTGAGGTGTCCTCCCATGTTCTCGATCTCTTCCTCAAGCTCACGCGCATTCCGGCGCTCGGTGCCCTTGAAGATCATGTGCTCCAGAAAGTGCGCGGTGCCGTTGGTCTCCTCGGTCTCGAATCGCGAGCCGGCGTCGATCCATACGCCAACGGTAGCGGTGCGGGCGGCGAGGGTGGACTCGGTGGCGACGCGGAGGCCATTGGGTAGAGTGGTGACGCGCGTCTCGGGGGCGGCGAGGATGCGCGTATGGTCGGAGAGTGTGGGGCGGGGCGAGCCGTGTTTGAGGAAGCGGGGGTCCGGATTCTCGAGTTGGCGGAGCTTGGACTTGACGACCTCCGCGGCGCGGTCGTAGATCATGGCGGTTGGGGGCGGAGGGGCGGGAGGGGAGGGCGGGGTGGGGGCGAGGGCGGGGGACGCCGAGAGAGATCGAAGGGAGGAGAGCGCGGAGGCCCGCCGGTCCGAGCGGCGGGCCGCGGAGAGGAGGCGGTTGAGGGACATGGATCCGCGCTCAAGTCTAGGGTTTCACGGTGGACAAAATGGCCAATGAATTAAATGGTTACGAAGAGAAAGAAATAAAAGTTGGATGTTGGACGAGTAAGTATTCACTATCGAGAGACTGCGGGACAATAGTCATTCCGCATGTGAGGGGGAGATTTTTACTTTTATTTATTTAAAACTAATATTCTTAACCATGCAAGTATCATTAAAAAATATATAAATTAAAATGAAAAATGAAAAACTAATAAAAGATATATATTAATCAAGTAACAATAAATTATATTTTTAATAAAAATTTATTCAAATTTATATATTAAAATATATTATTTATGGAATTGATTTATTTTCCATTATTAAAATTTGTTAAATTTTGTATTTTACTTATTATAAATACTAATTTTATATTAAACATTATATATATATAGATAGATTTTAAAATTTTTATTTTTATAAAATAAAAAAACTATTTATTTTCTTAAAATAATTTCTCACGAGCATTATTTTATTTATTATACATACTATTTTATATAAATGAAATATTTAACTTTATTATATAATTTAATATATACTAATTAGGAAAAAAAAACTTAAAATGTTATCAAACAAAGAATTATAGTAAAAAAGTTATCTTTGCAAAAATATTTCAAAAAATCAGACATGTGCCCTTCGTTTTATTAATTTTAAATATCAATTATAACGAAGGTTAATATAATTAAAATAATAGTAAAATTTAAACATATAGATATAATAAATATATATATATAGATAATTTATTTATTAGAAAAAATATTTTAAAAATATCCTTAGAAATATTCAAAATATATATAAAAATAAGTAATTGTATATAAACATCTAGTGTCAGCCTTTATTATTGTTCAAAAGATTATTTTCTATATAAAATAATATTTGGTTGTGTCATTATCATAATTTTAAATGCACAAGATAATAGATAGTGTAAGCTAATTATATTAAAAATATATCATGGAATTAAATTTTTAAACATTTTATAAAATCACTAAGTCAATTCATATACACAATTATATTACATAAATTTTTATTCTATAAATTTTAAAATTAAAAACAAATTCAGACAATTTTCAAAAAACTCTATTATATTGAATCTAAATATCTAACACTCATATTTATCATTGCCCCAAATACATTTAGTTAAAGAAGTGAATCTAAAATTTTCTTCCTAATCGAAACCACATCAAAATGCTAAAGTACGCTTGATTAAAGAATTGTTTTATAATCTTGTTCCTTCGCGAAATATACATGACAAAGTAGTTCCTACGTTTAGTATTCATGAATAAAGTCATCTCAGATATAACAACGTAAACATCCATCAACTTAACACATTGATATATATGATTTAGGTTATAAGAAAAAAGTTTGGGTAATCTATCCTTACATTTGGCAATTCAACACTCATATCATAGTTAACTTCAATAATATTACCACTTTGGTAATAAGTACTTCACATCATACCGTATCTAAATCATAATAAACATTTTATTTCCTCATTCACCTTATTATCTCATGATTCTATTTCAATTTACATATATATTCATCTCACACAATAATTTAAGTACAAACATTATTATTATTATTATTAATCAATAAAAGAATATGAAAAGTTCCAACACCAAAAGTCATTTAAAACATAAATACTTGTGTTATGTTGCAAATAAAATTTATTATTACCACTTAAATCAATATAAACAATGGTGTTTCCTAAAAGAAAAATATTATCAAATAATATATAATGTATAGGACAAGACATGAATTCACAGATTGATGAATATATATATATATATATATATATATATATATATATATATATATAGTCATGTATTACTTTTATTTATTAAAAATTGTGACATACCTAACTTAATCCTATAAAATTGGTTCAAGATGATGATTGTACTTATTTATATACTATAATGTTATCATATCTCTAATAAATGTGAGATTTTTCAATATATACTTTCACGTCAAAGCATATCTTTTATCACATTCCCTCGTATTGAAGAAGATTTTTTTCATCACACTCCCTCAAATCGAGGATGAATGGTCTAATGTTGGTCCGTTAACGGGTGATTTAGTCCACAATTGTTAATGGTTAGTGTCTCAACATCTCTAGAGTTAGCTTTGATATCTCTTAAAAATGGTGAGATACTTAACTCAATCTTACAAAATTGGTTTAGTAAGGTCAGAATTATACACATATATATACTATAATGTTATCATATCTTTAGTTGATATGAAATTTTTCAACATATTAATCCATGTATTCCAATTAAACATTCCAAAAAGGAAAAGTAGACAAACAAGTGACATCCTTATTTTAATATATATTTTAGTTATGAATTTAATTACATTTTAAGATATTATTTTTACTAAATCTTGACAAAAAATAGATGTGAGATAAAAGTTATATATATATATATATATATATATATATATATATATATATATATATATATATAGGTGTGTATAATTTACAATTTTATATTGCTTCCATGTCAGAAACAAATGTTAAAATTGACAAGTTTGTCCCTGTAAAAGTGACTTAATTATTAATGATATTTGTATTTCATTTGTTTCTTGAAAATACTATTGTAATGATGACAGAGAAAGGGTTTAGAAATTTTGGCACCTACATCTATTTAAGTTAGTAATTTTATTTTTATTATGTTCAAGAGGTAAAATATATTAGAAACAATAGTTAAGATCAAGAGGGGGTGAATTGATACTTTGAAATTTTTGTCAAAATCCAATTATCTAAGAATAGAATCTGACTTTTCAAAGATAAACTAATGTAAATCATTAAATAATCAATTAAAAGACAAGATAACAAGAAAGAGAAGGAAATAACATACAACAATTTATACTAGTTCACCCAATTTTTTAGGCTACATCTAGTTCTCAGCTTAACTTAGCTAAGTTAACTACAAAAACAAAGTACAATGACAAGTGCACCAGTAAAAAACTCATTAAAAAAACTCCTATCTACTGCAAAAGAGTCTTGATCCTCCAATAACTACTTTTGACTATATGATGAAAATAATCTCCTCCTTCCAACAATGAGATAAGTCTGCACCTCAAACTCTCAAGTGACCGAAAATTGTTCCCCAAGTGTCAAAAGAAGACTTGGCACTATCTCCTCCAAGGAAAATTCATTGTTTAGGAGACAAGGAGAAGAAAATCTCCAAAAGACACTTAAAGTCAAGCCCAAAACGGGGTACAAGCAAAATTGCAAGTTCCACACACTAAACTTGATTTTTATTCAAATGTGTCAAGAAAGCTACACAAGGGGTTATATTTATAGTGTTTCCCCTCTCACCTACTTCAAGTATTTAGAGATATGAGACTTTTCCTACTCCTACACTTAGGCCCCAAGAATGTTTGTTTGTAGTCTCACATTCCTCCTTTCAATGTCTTCTTAAGAGTATATATTACAATGTGTTTCAATGGTTGACAAGCATCATCTTAGGTGTGGTCTTGAGCTAACTGAATAACTGGTGCTTGGTCATGGCTAGTGGTGCAAAGCCATGGATGAGTTTTTGTGACCGTGAGTTGCATAATCTTTTGGTGTTTCATCCTCCAAGTCCCACATCGAACAAGTCAAGGTGATCTCAGGTGTTTATATATTCCAAGGTTCCCTTGAAGTTCAACCAAGTAGGTGGAGGTGGAGAGGTGATAGACTCCTTTGGTCAAGCTCCCTTAGACCAGGTCTCTTTGTAGTACGTCCTAAAATGAAAGAGATAACATTTTAACTGATAACACATCATATTAATCGATTAAAATAACTTAGCATAAAACTCAATAAGTTACTTAAGACCATTTTAACTATACAAGTATAATTCAATTTTTATTGATTTTAATCGATTAATTCAAGTATTTATCAATTAAAAATATGAACCTAAGCCATTTTAACATATTAAAGCAAATTTTAACATATTAAAAGTAGTGAAGCATCCACTCTATCTTAGGAGATGATTGAATTGAGATAGAACCAATGATTACATACTAAAAAAAAAGCTTTAGGACACATAAGACAAACTACAAAACACACAACAACACCAACACATTCTTCTTGACTTTGACTTCATCAAATCTAACATGAACTATATTCATCAATCTCCCCCCTATTTGATGAAGACAAATGTCCATCCTGCCAAACATATCAGAAAAGAAATGTGTTGTGTGTGCGTATGAGAAATTAATCGTTCTTCTTCTTTTCCCCATTTTAACTTCATCAAAGAAGATAATGAAAATTTTTCAGTCCAAGGCAACAAGTATAATAAATTTCAAAGTGTTCAAGAGTGGTGTCTAATTGTAAACAACAAGAATTAGGTACAAACCAAAAAAAAAATGGAAAGCAGCAACCTAACAACTTTAAAAAGATAAAAGAAATGAATAGAAACTCAATCCTCCCTTGCAGCTTGGCTAAATTGGAGATCGCTATTGTAGATGTCATCCAACTGGTTATCAATGTCTTGAAATCTAGCAATAGAATCCTCATATAATTTGTACTACTTTGCTTAAACAACAAAGGTCGTCATCTAATGACTCATTTTATACACACTTTTATAGTCTTATTGCATCTTTCAAGTATTTCTTTCTCCTTTATTCATTTCATTTAGAATATATTTGTATTTTTTGTATCAAATAAAAGTTTTTGTACATATGTACTATTTTCTATATTTATCTGTTGTATTTTTATATTTTTCAAGCATTAACCTTTATTTATTGTTTTGTTTATATCTTTTTCTACATATGTCTGTTTTAGTTTATTCTTTTTGCATTAGATTCTGAATTTTTAGGGCTATGAAATGAATATATTTTTGTAGTTGGAGTTTTGTAGTATTTTCTACAATTTTTAGAAATTGAGGTAGATTTGCTGAAATTTTGTAAAGAACACATACAAATTTGATTATTATTTGTATTAACTTATCTTTTATAATTGGGCTTATGGACCTAATTAGAGCCCACAT